GGGGGGGGGGGACTTTATAGAGTACAACTCCCAGATTTCCCATCTGAAGTAGTTAGGTCTTTGGTCTGGTCCAGTGTGGCTCTTCTTATGTTCTTCTGTAAATATACTGAATGCTTGTAGCAGGCAAAAAGAATGCTATGTATTCTTCTTATATTGTCAAAGTAAGTCCCCCTTTTTGACGGAGAGGTTAAGACAACTGCCATTGAGGTAATGCAACAATGTGCATGGGAAATGAAGTCCTTGAATGATGAGGAAGGCATGCACCAGCCCACACTTGAGCATTGTTCAGTGGAAAACATCTCAAAGCCACAAAATGCTACTTTCAGTTAAAAGTGTGAGAGGGATTTACAAATTCTGTATTTCTTTGGAAACAAGGGTGCACTTTGCAAAGCAGTAAATGAAAGGGATACCTGTACTGCCCTCTATTGGGCCCTAAATGCAATTAGAAGAAAGCACAATCAAGACTCAAAAGCTTACTGTATATACTCAACGATAAGTCAACTTCATAGATGAGGAAAAGTTTGGGGGCCAAAATTATGGATTTTGATATGGCCTGTGGATAAGTTGAGAGTAAAATGTAGGGGCATGGAACAAACAAGAGAAAGGATGAAGCAAAGGAAAACAATGCCAGAGAACTTACAAATTTCCAGCAGGCATAACTGTTTGTGCTCACCCTAAACCTAAAGGATGGTTGGATGAGAGAATAGAGGGGAGGTCAGTGCTTTCAGGTCAGATTACACTCTTGCCTTTTACCAGGGGATTCTTTTCAAACACGAATTAAAGTACAGTACTTACATAGACTCATGGATAAGTCAACTCAGGTTTTAGGTCGATTTTTGACCAAATTTTTTAGACTTATACATGAGAATAAGCAGAAGCACTGAAGTCTTTCTACCTATAATGTTATGACCTTAGCTGATAAGCACTTGAGTAATAAATAATTGTTGGATGGCCAAGAACCTTTTGACTTGCATAACAAAAGCACACCCATGCATGCATATACCCACCCTGCATCTTAGCATCTAGGTAGTAGCTGTGGCTTAGGAGTATTGCACAGGGAGTGGGATAGGTTGGATGACTCTTGGAGCAGCTCTCCTCTTGCCATGTCACTGCCCTGGTCCAATGCTATTCCATGGTAGTTGTACACTATAACTACAAATAGCAAGATATCTGATGGCAGGCCTCCTGCATGCTGTCTCTCTTAACCCTAAGTCAACCTAATAGATGAATGCACTCCTTTGATTTCAGTAGGACTTGAAAATATCATTAGCTACATTGGGACCAGAATGTAAAATATCCCATGTAAAGTTATCCAAAGCAAATACAAACAAAAAATAGCACTCTCTGTTGTTTTACCTCTTTCAGATTGTTTCTAATGGAGCAGAGAAATAGTTTACCAATAGGTACTTACCCTTTACTACAAGGTGTGGGGTTAACTCATACAAGACAGGTGTATTTTCTGATTCCATAAATTCCACAAGGGAACCCCTTCTTTACTTGTACTAATATCCTCCCTGTAAGACCACACTCTTGTCTTGAAGCTATACTTTCCATTATCTTTGGTGCTTGCAAAACTTTGAATGGAACAAGTTTTTCTAGCAAAAGAATACAGATTTTTATCTTTAATGAGCAGCCTATCATTTAGCTTCGGGAAACAGCTTCCTGGTTCTAAATGGCTTGCAAGTAGTGGCTGTCAGACAGCTTCAAAAGCTGACAGTAGACACTGCTCTTGTAGAGTCTGGAGGAACAGTCCTAAAATGTTGGGAATGGCAGAGGATGTTAGCATAGATCAAGAAGACTCAACTGCTCAAAATGGGGAAATGGTCAGTTGGGACATCAATGACATCAAGCTCCCCAAGGTAGGTGCATTTTGGGCTCCTTTTAGGAATGACAACTCTTTTTTAAAACAATCATATTGTTTATTTGTTCACTTATTCATTTATATAATGTTATGAGCTTATACTGGCACATTACAGAGCAGAGATGTGGAACCTATTGGACTACAGTTCCCATAATTCCTTGCCACTGGCCATACTAGCTTGGATTGGTGGAAGCCAGTGTGTGAAAATACCTGGCTGGCCACAAATTTCCTGCTCTTGTTATACAAGAAGATAACTAAAAAGAGAGAGATTTCTTCCCCAAGGAAAGAACATGCTGGATTGGAACTAGGTTTAGTTGTACCTAGGTTGCAATCCTATACTCCCATATCTGTGGATAAGCCCTGTTGAACTCAGTTGGACCTATATCTGAGTAGACATGCATAGGAGTATACTGTTAGAATTCACCTATTGAAATCAATGGGACTTAAGTTGTCACAATTGGCTTAAGTCCAATTGATGTCAGTGGACCTGCCATAAGTATGACAAAGTCTGGATCCAAACTCTTGACAACATTATCACATATAACATCATCCTGCAAGGTAGTTGAAGTTTTCAACTGAAAGCTCTTCAGTTTGGTGAGCATTTCCCCAGGGAGATTCATAAACTAGATGATATCTTTCCTTGCACTGAATTCAGCTGGTCAGAATGGGTTTGGTAGCTTGTACACTCATTCCATCCGAAGTTGACTTATCAGTGCACCATATCACCATCTCATCTTCTATGACCACATTTTTCATTCCTGGGCGTTGTGCAAGGATCAGTGAAATGCAGAAGGCTGTCACTCATAAATGAAATATCTTAAATATTGATAAACCTGTCATTAGAATAAGGTCAGTTTTATTAGAACAACCCTGAAGGTACTGGGGGCTGCAGATGTACAAACATGCTACTAAAAGTAGGACAATGACAATCCTGGAAGCATGACCATGATGTTACAAAAAGCTTTTAGTGAGCTGGACTACAAGGTAAAAGGGGCTGGATTTGGAGGCTGCTCACAGCATTGAGACTGTAAACTGCATACCACTATGGTAGATTTTAGCTATTACCCTTAAATTTACTCAGTATTGCTGGATTTAATGTTGATGATTGTGCATATATTATTTGAATGAAAGAAAGCCTTCCTGTTACTATATAGAATCCTGAGGTTTGTTGCATCACTTTGTTGTTGTGTGCATTCAAGTCATTTCTGACTTATGGTGACCCTAAGACAAAACAATCACAGGGTTTTCTTGACAAGATTTGTTCCATGGGGCTTTGCCTTCCTCTGACATTG